TAATTCCGATATGATCCGCCCAATTTCCACTTCCAATTTTGTTCAAACTGTCGATTTTTGTTTTTGAAATTCCCTCTATAATAAATGGTTAAACATTGTTTTTTTTTTCCAGATCATTACCGAAATATTTACTTCCCTTTCGACACGGAAACCGACACCGCTCTAAGCGTTGCAACCGAAATGGTGTCCGAATTGGACCTAACAAACCAAGACGGGACTAAAATAGCCGAAATGATCGACGGCGAAATCGCTTCATTAATACCCAACTGGAAAACCGAATTCGCCCTAGAAGACACAAATCATAAATTCTGTCATAGTTGCGCTTCGGATAGTAGTACTTCTTACAAGCCAGCTGGCAAGAGCCTCAAAGTTCTAGAATGTACGAAAGACGGATGTGGGTCCGGGTCCATACATGGCCGGTTCGAAGAGATCACTTACCAAGTCGAAGATTCCCTAGTGGGCCCCACCGATCAAGAAAATGAAACGTTCGATCAATTGGCAGAAAATAAGGATATAAGGCAGGAGCTGATGTGGCTCAAGGCCAAGATCAAAGATAATTCGAAAGGGTACAAGGATGACTTTGAGCTTAAATTGCCTCCTTTAAATTCCGAAATAAACGTGGTTAATCAAATGGTGTATAATTCTTGTAGTCCGGTGCACCTTGCCACAGCCAAGAATTTCTACGCTGGTGAATGGGTCCCAGATTCGATTCACCGGGCAAGTTCTTTGCCGGTTGATTATGCTACGGGTTTCTAGAATTTTTTTTTCTTTTTTCGTGGAGCTCGTAAATTGTCGAATTTTCAAGTGGAAAAGTTGCTCATGATCAAGTTCACTTGGATTTGATATGAGTGGATGTATATTGCAATCTAATTTTATATAGCAAAAACAGTATAGAAAAAGGTGGCATTTTCTTGTATTATATCTTGTGGAGCAAATGTATACATTCATCTTGTAATAAGAGATTTCATTTTCAAGTATTTGGACATCTACAATGGTTGGAAGCATTTCCATTTCGATTTTATTCTTTTCCGAAAATTCGTATTTTTTAAATTTTCAAAAACAAAATCTCCGAAACAATTTCAAATGTTTCTGTCTCTTTCAAATATGATTTGACTGTAATAGTAAAAAGATCTACCTATTCCAGTAAAAAATATTCACTATAAAATAAATAAACATCACTCATTTTTCAAAATTCTTCTAACACACTGTTTACAAACATTTTTAAACATAATCTGACTGTCGCGTTATAATATAATTATAAACCCTAAAAATGCTTCCAAACATTGTCTAAATATTTGCAATAAATAGTCAACGATTTGAGGTTGAAATATATGGCATAAATCTTCTTGAATTTTTCTTCAAATTTTGTGACACTTGTGGTCCTTCTCTATCAAGGAAGAATTAGTTGTGGTCCATTCCACCACTAGAATATAGACTCGTTGATAAATATGCCCAATTTTGCCCTATAGTTGATAAATACCTACCTTTAGATATAAGATATTTAAGCCCTCTATTATTTAAAGTTAATATATATTTGGATGAATTATTTAATTGTGATATTTTACTATGCTTTGTTTCTTAAGGTCAAATGGTGCAAGAATTTTCATGGAGTGTGACAAACAAGAGGATTAAACAAGTGTTTGTAAGTGAAGACATAAAGTTGAAATCAATTTGTTTTTTTCTTTTAGAATAAGTTGATTTAACTTTATAAAAGAAGACTTTTAGACTTAGAAAAGACATCATAACAACATCCTATTTAGTCACATACTTCCTATCCAATGTGGCAAAATAATTCAATCTCATTTAATATATTGAAATGGTATTTACAGAGTGAAATTCGACAGGTCACATAGTCAATTTAATATTTATTAACTTTTTATATTTCAGAAGCTCACTTTCTCGATAACTCTCTCAATTCAATAAATCTCTCGACACTGATTTTTGGGTTTTTTCTTTCAAGTCCGTGTTGTTCAACACGGATCGAAATACATATTACTTGTTGACCAACATTGGATGTCATATTTCAAAACCTTACTTTCTCGATAACTCTCTCAATCCAAAAAATCTCTCGACGCTGATTTTTGTGCTTTTTTTTAAAAGCCCGTGTTGTTCAACACGGATCGAAGTATGGATTCCGTGTTGACCAACATTCGATATAATAATCGGGATAATCGTTGTCCATTTAATTCATCTAATAACGTGAAGAAGTTCAACTTTTGTTACATACAACGAACATTTCCATATTTGCATGGTTATTAGTAAAAGGGGGTTTATTAAATGAAATGAATTAATAAGTTGTTCAATAGTGACACGTATACATCATCAACACTAAAAGCAGATTCCTTTACACAAGGTAATAGTCTTCCATATAACCACTCATATATGATATATCCACTTGTCACACCAAAACTCAAAACTATATCCGATTTTTTTGTTACTTTTTATTTTTTATTATTATAATAAATTTTAAGTTTAATATTGTTAATAAATATTACTAATTCCTTTAAT